GGATCTCATCAGCGCGTCGCAGGCAGCTCCGACAGAACACAGACCAACCTTCCGCGTCTGGCAGTTTCGACAGAATACAGATCACTTCGAATTATTTTGTTCGATTATGGTAACGTGCCTATCACGTTGAGGTGAGCTACGCCGGGATTAGTTTCAGCAAGTAGATATCCATAGTTTTAAATCCTTGTTGGAGCATACGTAATCCTCAAATGTAGCATCATACTACAGATGGCGCTCACCACGCCATTTGTGGTATTTTCGAAAACGCGCTATTAAGACAGCAGGTAAAGGTTGGTCTGTGTTCTGTCGGAGCTGCCTGCGACGCGCTGATGAGATCCAAAAAGATCGAAATCGCGATCCGCGTCTGGCAGTTTCGATAGAATACAGACCACTTCGAATTATTTTGTGAGAATAGCAAGTCTAACATTTGTTTTTCTTTTCAACAAAAATAAAAATGTGATATTTCCTTATCACCTGATGGTGCAACTATTTGACCAATCAGTTATTGTGAAGTCGAATTTTCATTTTGTCGATCGTTAGAAAGACGCGACCACCTTATGTGAAATAAGTAGAGGAAATAATTTATGATGTAAGAGAGATTGTAGAATATTATGAAAGTATGGCAACGAACTTGAATAACCTACCTACTGCCAAGTTCACTGTCAGGCCACAGCTTGCTAATTCCTTTCTAAATTGTGATCAAGAAATGTTGCAAGCGGAATGCTATTATGGAGTTGTTGGAGCTAACACGATGTCTCTAATAAACCTGTTTACTACTATTTGTGACCAAAATTCATAATTAAATTAAATCATCCTCACGAATATTATGCAAAATGGAAAATCAGATTGTTAATTAGGTATCAGCTATCACTTACGAAAATTAGAAAATTACTCTACGGTGTATATATTTATAAGACTATTTTTATATGGCGGTGCAGCATGTTTATTTAATTTTAACGAAGAAAACGCAAATTTACAGAAAATAAACCACCGATAATGTTTAATTTTCATTATATTTATATCTATCACATCCTACCATTATATACTACTTCTATTGCAACAATTTTAACTTGCTGACAACATTTATCTTTATTTAAAATTTGTATTTCAATTTCAATAGTATTCCATCTTCTTTGATCATATGTTCTTTCTTTACAGCATACTTAAGACAACGACCCTGACGCTGAAACCACCCAAAAGAAATGAAACGTCGAAAAAAGGTAATTGCAGATGTTTTATTAGCACACTAAATAAGTTAAAAGAATACGCTGTCTGTCAGTTAAGTTAACTTCAAATTTGGAGCCAGTAATATATTGATGACGATAATCCCAATAGGTATTTGAATAAGAGATATAGGTACTCCTTATTACAGTTAAATGAAAATAATTAAAACTGTAAAAGTCGTGCTTATAATTACGTTTTGAATTACGATTTTAATGATCCTAGGGGTTCGCGACAAGATTTACTTACGAAATACGGAAATTAACTGATTATTCAATCACAATTAATAAGAAATTGATCAAAATTACTCCAATTTGCTACAAGAAACAAGGTCATCTTTTACTTCAATCAATAATGTATTGCTTATTATGACTGCATTACTTTTTATTCAAACAAAAAAACTTGTTTACGAGGGGTTCGCGGTTGTCTGGTTGGATATTAAATAGGAATACGTGGGGCTATAAGTATGATAAATCCTGTTCTAGTGCTACCACAATTTCCATGCCTTAGCTTCAGGTACGAGTGGCTAATGTGCTGGCCCACCCTCTACAGTAACTTAGTCCGATATAACGCATAGTTTAAAACTGCAAGAATTCAATTTATCATAACCCAAAACGCTTTTCTTATTTATGATACAAAAATTTCTATTATTTTGTCCAAATCGATAGCTTTTGCGATTTTTTTTCGATAAACGTGATTCCTAAATTACCCAAGAAAATTTCACTTCTTGGGTGAATAATTGTACACCATGGAAAGAAATAACATTATCGCGGAACTCAATGCGTTTTGAGTTATGTTGTGGTTTTGCATTGTTATTTATAATGGTCTGAAAACATCTTGGGTCATATGTAACTTAAAATCTACCACAAAGTGCCCCACTCATGACCAAAAATGTAAAAAAAAGCTGGCTACGTCTCTGCTTAACTTCACATAATTGATTATTCTATTCTTTCTCACTTACTAAATGCAACCTACGCCACTGGATTATCATAATCCAAAAGATTGGGTACTGCCAGCGCGCAGTTATTTGTATATAAAATGATTTACCGTTTGATTGCAGAACTACCTTTCATTTCATTATTTATTTACAAGATCTTCACTAACGATTCGACTCAAATGCTCGGGACAATGAACTGTAGTTTTTTTCACTTCCTCTGATCAGACATGATGAGCTTCAAGAGCAACGGTAGACGAGAAAAAACTAATTTGGAATACCTGTTTAATAAAAAAATGCATGCACAAGAAGTGTACAGGAACAAAGAACGCCATACAATAGACAAGCAAAAGAATAGAGACAGACCAATGCAATAAAATGATTGGCACTGCAAAATCATAATTACATTTTCGTTCTTTTGTTTTCAACCAGAGGCGTACATAAAATTTTTGAGCGTGACACCTTGAGTGTTGAATCGTATTTATACTCCGTTTGATTTTGTTGTTTAATATTTATACAGCAAATAGATAAATGGTGAAAGCGCTTGCCACACAATATAATTTACATTTAACATTAATGAAGACTACTGTCACAATTAATAAATTAAAAAGAGGAGTAGTTAAAAATTCTTCTGTAAGATATCGTTAAGTATACCATATTAATTTAAACAATTCCATAGACTTTATTCATTAAAATTTCATATAAATTCATTCAAAATATTACTGTAATATTTCAGTATTATACATAATATATACAGAGTGTAAAGAAAGATAGGTCTCATGTAAGATAGAACTTTGTATTAGTAAGTTAACATTCTTATTAGTGTTTAGTGTCTAATTTTCTAAACTGTAGTGAAAACCGCAACTAAATCGATTAAGAAATAACTGAATTACCTCTGTTTAAAGTAAAATCATACTTTATAATAATTGCTATAAACAGTGGCGCTTAAGATTGTTTACATCCGCATACCTTTAAGTGCACGTGCACTAACTTTGATCAAGTTTTTTTGTCAATCGACATGATGGCCTCCGATGCAACAGCCAATCAAACGCATCGAACCGATTGTAGTAGCTTTATAACAATAAAAATTGCGTTCATAAGTTAGTAACCCTCGATGCTATTGGGGGGTGTACTTCGTTGCACCAAATTTTACGTCACAATTACGTTAAAAGCTGTAATTATTATATTAATTGTTAAAATTACGCTGCTTCGTTATTAAAAACGTCTAAAATTTAGATGACTAAGTTTAAATACTGTCTTATTTACGTTTTTTAATTGCTATATCGAAGATGCAATTAGTATTATTCAGGATGTCTCCTTTAGGGATAAAAATTATCTTTGCTTAGATTTGCGATTGATATAGCATTATTAGCATCTAGCAAAGAGCAGATTGACTCAAAATAGGAATACGTAGGGTGAAGATGTTATAATCATAGATAATGATGATGATAATGATTGGTTTTTTTGTTCAAAATAGTTTGGATTTGTCATTGTCGTACATTATATCTCTTAGCATTTTAGTGATGGTGGTTAATAAAACATTAGATTGTAAAGTTAGCCAATTAGTGGAGATAAAATAAACGGCATGGGGTGATGATTGAAGCCGTTAATTAATGGTAGTAGTAGCATTTTCTGCAATTTCCTGACGGTTAGAGGTCTCTAAAAGAATGTAAGCAATTGCCTTTTTTACAGAAGCTGTAAGTAAGTTAAAGACTTCTACGAATAGCCAATTGTATTGCACTGACACACTATACACTACTTGCATTAGACGAAGTACTTTAGCATTAGAAGCAAATTTATGTCAGTGTGTTGTTGTCTTTCTTGTCTTCTCGCAAGTCTGTTATATACACACACGCATTTCCGGTTGAAAACGTAAAAACTATTTGAACTAATTTTTAGTTTCAAGATTAATGATCCGTCACATGATAGTGATTGTGGGCAATTAGAAAACTTTTTTGTAGAATATCGCCCTCGACCTTTTATTTTTATATTAAAAGTTACCCTTTGTTTAATATATGTACTATTAACTGATTGATAGGGTTTCTAATAAACCGTCAGAGAATAAATTGACACAAAAAAATCATATCATATCATTAGCTAATCATCAAACATCTCCTTTTTATGGAACAGATTGGATATCAATCGTAATGGAATAATTAATAATTCATATGTAATTCTGCTGATGAGAAAAAATTTATTCATTACATTCCTAGTGACTGTAATATAAGGGATTATAATATAAGGTCCTTTATTGTCCTTAATAGTATTAAAATAAAAGCAAATAAAAATTAATTAAACCTTTCCAAATGTGGTAATTAATGTGCAATATGCATGTGCGACATAAACATTACTTATTAAAAGAAATTAGAAAATATATGTTACAACACACATTAACTTATCCTTATATACATGTGAGTCAGCAAACACCCTGTATATAAGGATTACTATACGTTACAACATTCAAAAATAAATATCTGTTTCGGATCTATTTATTGTGATATATAAAATGGAAATTTGTACACTTATTACATTTTTTTTAAATATTCTCTTTTAGAGCTTTTAGTAGGACTATATCTCAGGCAACACATATAACATAACTACNCCTTTTAGAGCTTTTAGTAGGACTATATCTTAGGCAACACATATAACATAACTACGAGTATAGTGTAGCTATTCGTTAAGAGAATGCGCCCAGATGCTGAAATTCTGGAAATTTGTACACTTATTACATTTTTTTTAAATATTCCCTTTTAGAGCTTTTAGTAGGACTATATCTTAGGCAACACATATAACATAACTACGAGTATAGTGTAGCTATTCGTTAAGAGAATGCGCCCAGATGCTGAAATTCAGTAATATTCAACATTAAACAGAAACAAATATGTGTGGCATGTACGGAATTTAATAGAAGAGGTTATCCTGCACGTTATTGGTATTTTTATAAGGGATAAAAATTAATTAATGCATATAGTGCTTTACGAATTTGTTGTGTATTTTCACCATCTACAAAAATGAGTGATCCTACAGTATCTGTGTCTAAGGTAATATTTTACGTTTGATTTTACCTATAGCTTTTTTGTATTTTACTCATATAAAAGAATTAAATGATATAACAAATAATAATATAAAAGAAAATTCAAAATTTAGTTATTGTACAAATCTCGTGTGTTTCTTATTTGTAAATTTTACTAATGTTTTTATCAGTCAGCTGTTATATACAGGGTGAGCAATTATTTGTAAACAGTCGACAATTTTTAAAAAGGCGTATATAAATACATACATACTTTTAATTTTAAGGGTGTCTTCGTTTTTAAAAATGGTTTTAAACCAGGGTCGACAAAATCAAAAAACAAGAATAAGCAAAGTAGTACCAAAACATACAACAGTATTTTAGAAAATAAATTGTGGTATAAATCGTACTCTAAATTGTGGAACAAAATCGAAAAGAAGATTCAGGTAGGATTTGTGTGCATTTAAAATGTTATTTTAGGTCATTAAGTTCACTTAAAATAAAAGAATTTATGTTGTCTTCATAGTTTGAAATTTTTTAAATTACCTACATATACAAGGTGATTAAAAATTGTGGTGTAGGTGTAAACCAACTTTTTTTTATTAATAGCAAATTTTTAAATCACTAAAATGCAATTTATATAATTATTTTGTTCAGCAAGTAGTTCAAAAATTCTACCGAGTGTTTAATTTTATTTTGTAAAAATATAAAAAATTGCCTAATAAATATAATTGCAGCTATCAATTGTTTGTATTTTAAGTTTTAATGTCTTTTCAACATTTAAATTTGATTTAAAAAGTTGCAAATTTGTTTTGTTTACTAATTGTAGGCATTAAACGAAGAGACTTTCTCTTCAGTGTTAAGTAATCTCGTGAAATTTATCAAAAACAGTTACGAAACTCCCGTTTCTGAAATTCCAACAGCGACACTGTTAACAGGCATAAACATGCCAGATCATACAGCGCTCTTTGGAAGTTTAACAAACGAAATTGAAAAACATGTTTCTCCTCATTCCGCTATTTTACACGCCGAAGATTGTAACAATTTAAAAAATATGATCGAAAATATGATTGGACAGTTCGTGAATGTCGAAAAATTTTCAGGGGATGTAAGTACATACATACATATTTAACAGCAATAATTGCCTAGAGTATGTACGTATTATATGTCAGCGACCTGCTCTTAGATCCTAGATAGTACACTTGTAAATTCTTCTTAAAATTCACATGTGAATAAGGTGTTTGAGGGGTATGTTTGGTTATACAGTGGAATTCGTTTATTATGACTCCGCATATATTGACCAACCGCTTAATATGAACTAATTGCAGTGTAGTTTGGTTTTCATATTAAAATCTCTATACGAATATTTGGATAAAATGACTCCCCGTTTAAAATGACATTTCGTTTATTATGACTGATTCTCAAGAAATCATATCCGGCTATAGTGACCTAAATGATTAATAATAATAACATTTTCGCTCATTTTTCTGACCCTTAGGAATATTGATATTACAGTTTTTCTCTCTATTAGACAAAATAACTAACCAAAATAGAAAGTTTTTTATTTTTTAAGACTGTGCTTTGTATGACGCCCGCTTAGTATGACGTGTTTGTCATTTCCCTTCGATGTCATTATAAGCGGATTCTACTATAGTTTTATTTTATAAATGAAAATTACCATTCCTTGAAACACCACCATCATCCCATAGTCACTGTTTGCGAACAGTAATCTAATAAAGGTCTTCCTATACTCCTGATGTTTAATACGATTTTAACTTTCAACTTTTATTGCTATTTCGAATTAAATTGAAATTCAGAATTATAACGTGGACCAAAACATTGAAATCATAGGACTATCCTTACCGAGACCCACATAACAGCATCCTTGTCAAAGAGGGTCCTACAATCTTACAACCCCACATTGTCCCTAAACAATAGTCAAATTTTTTTTTAGTAAAAATTAGCTTTCTTCTACCCCTTTTCGTTTACCATTTTATAGAAATCAGAAACGAATAAGCAAGAAATCCAAAGAAACCATTATTTACTAGACGGCTATTATTTATTGTAATATGTATTATTTTAACAAGATATTAAGGATTCATTTGAGACAGACAAAACAGAATTACAGATGGTGAAAACCCGAATGAATTTAAGTTGAGAAAATCTTATTCTGTCAAAAGCTTAGCTCGCTGACGTTTTATTATGTATTTATTAAACAGTTTAACAGATATCAGATCCATGATAGAAAATCTTTTTACCAATTAAAAAGCTTCTTTTCGAGAGCATTTTAATTTTGTTTAAAAGTCACCAAACATGCCCCCTACAGTAAATTCTAATATTATCAACTTGCGTAACTTTAAATAGAGCAGCTCGCTTCTGTAATTTGATTTTGAAATTTTACTGATTCTATTATTCCTATACAAATTTTCTTTAGACGGTGTGATGTATAAGACCAGCATTTCAGAAATGGTTTGTTTTGTATTTATTCTTTTATCCATAGTTCTTCACTGATAAGCTGCAAATTCTTCATAATTTCGAGTCCTTTTTAACCAATTTTCAAATTTGGACACTGAAAATTTCAAACTTCATGGTGATTCACGCCAATGAAAAATGTTTATAATGTAAGCACGGTAGGGTGTCGTAAGTTTTTTCGAAATCGAAAGAAATAATTCAGAGTTTCGGACCTTTTTAATCAATTTTGAAATTTGGACGCGGAATATTTCGCTCGTTAAAGTGGTTTAACCAAAGGCGTATCAAAGGTGACGCAAATTAGTCACTCCAATAAATAAAAATGAAGGAAGAAGTTCCAGTTCCAGTTGCCTTCTATTAAAAACACCACGCCTCCAGTAAAACCATTCACATCATATACAATTTAACGTTAAAATTCACAGATGTAAAATATCGGTATGGGATGGGATATGTATGTAGGTAGGCATTCTTTGTATATTAGATACGTATTCATAACAAACGTAGACAACTAATTTAGCTTAATTTTTACGGGCAACTTTGCAATTTGCCCATTTCGTTAATAATGTTTACATTGAAATGACGTAATCGTTTGCAATAGTGTAGTTCTTGTCGAACTCGACATTTATCTGTCTATTTTTGCCAACATTGTGTAAGAATACACTTTGTTCTAATCAATGTGCTTATGTGCTTGGTTTGAATTTCGAAATTTTATTGTTAAATATTTCAAAATCAATTCAAAAGTCGTACCTATCAGTATGTATAGCTACCAGTAAGAGCAAATTGTAATCTTATTTTTATTTTACGTTATTCGTTAAAAATAAAAGTTGATTTAATTAATGTGAGTGAATTAACTTATATTGTCTTGTATTATTATCTCCTCACAAACCTGCAAATTTAGGTCATTAAACCAGTCTCTTTTCTAATACATTTTATAAGAATTTTTCGGGAACCTCGTATACTTATATAATATCGAGAGCGTTTAACAGTTTAATTGACAATTTTTCTATTGAAAATATAGGTAGAGATGAAACAGTAAATTTTCAAGACCAAAATAATCTATTATTTTAAAAGTTTTCTTCTTTTTACTATTTACTATTGTATAGGATTCGTCTGACTCCGATGAAAAAATTAATACACGCATTAAAAAAAGTCAATGTACTTTTTCATTGCTTCAAGGCTGGTACGAAGCGAGCTATCCCATTGAAAGTCCTAAGAGGACTAAAAAGCCTCCTAAAAAAAGGAAAATATTAGTAGTTGTTATCCCAGACTTTGAAAGTTTTAACGATAAAATTCTCCAGGATTTTGTCCTAATTATAAGGTGGAGATTTTGGTTTAAATACTTTAATTAATTACTCAATACAGAAAATTTTTAGCTCTTACCTTAACGTTTTACCATTTGCACTTGTCTTTGGGGTGGCAACTTCCACATCAGCTTTACATAAGTCACTTCCGCATCATGTGTCTTCAAGAATAAGCGTAAAAGTATTTCAATCTCAAACCAGTGTTGTATATTTGAATAATATTTTAGAAAATATATTCCTGACAGCTGACTGTCCATTCCACTTAGGTGGAAGGATATTTTCATTATTCATTGATCAATTTTTGTTCTACGACCTGTCAGTGAAAGGCTTTATACGAAACGTAAAGGTAAGTTTATAGTTATTAACACAGAAAATGAATCCTAAATTATTTTTATTCGAAATTATTATCTCAGTAGTGAAAATTTAATTATCTATAGGGTTGTTCGGAAAGTCATTTCGTTTTTTTTTTTGTGGAAATGAAAGACAGTTTTCGTATAATAAACAAATACTTTATTAAATTATATATCGACCCTTGTGGTCCAACACCTTTTGCCATCTTTCTGGTAGTAGCATAATTCCACGCTCATAAAATTTTCGGTCTTTGCTGATAAAAAACTCATCGAGGAGGTTTTTGACCTCCTCATTTGAGGTGAAGGTTTTACCGTCTAAAAAATTTTGGAGTGACCGGAACAAATAATAATCCGATGGTGCCAGGTCTGGAGAATATGGTGGGTGTAGCATTGTATCCCATTCAAGCTGTAAAAGCTTTTGGCGAGTGACCAAACTTGTGTGAGGTCTCGCGTTGTCTTGGTGAAACACTACACCTTTCGTGTTGATTAGTTCTGACCTTTTCTGTGCATCATTCAGTTTGTCCAGCTGATGACAGTCGACTTCCGAATTAATCGTTGTGTTATCCGGTAAAAGCTCAAAAAAAACGATTCCTTTAAAATCCCACCAAACAGACAGCATCACCTTTTTTTGGTGAATATCGGCTTTGGAAATGGTTTGAGCCGGTTCATCTTTTTTGCTCCATGACCTCTTGCGTTTGACGTTGTTGTATACAACCCATTTTTCGTCCCCAGTGATGATGCGCTTCAAAAACGGATCATTTTCGTGACGTTTGAGAAGCGAATCGCAGACGTCAATGCGGCGACACAGATTTCTCTCTGTGAGAACATGGCGAACCCATACATCGAGCTTCGAGGATAATCCGAGGCCTTTCAAGTGGTCATAAACTGTTGAATTTGATAAATTTAACCTCAATCCGATCTCATGTGTTGTTATTCACCGGTTCACATCAACTAATGCCTTTATCGCGTCTTTATCAGCTTCAACCGGCCTTCCCGAAGGTGGTGCATCTTCGACATCAAAATTGCCGGATCGAAATTTAGCGAACCAGTTCTGGCACTGGCGTACTGTCAACACACCTTCTCCATACACATCAGTCAATTTCTTTCTGGCTTGAACAGCATTTTTGCCCTTTCTGTAGTAGAACAGTAAGATATGTTGAAAATGCTGCTTATCGCTCTCCATATTTAAAAGGGCACCAACCAAAAACTACTGCGTAGAATTAATTGGAATTTTTCACACACAAGCCTTGCTATATGAGCTCTCAAAGCATATAAAAATTATACGGCTTAAATGTGAAGTTGGGTGCAAAAGAATACAATTAAATCCTCTGTCGGGAAAAAACGAAATGACTTTCCGAACAACCCTATACATAACAAGTATTTTCGTTTCCAATTTTGTCACTCACCCTTTTATACCGAAAAATTGTCTTCGCTTTATTTTAGTATGCAATGTTGGAGCATTACAGTTATGGAAATGCAATGGCTCTTTGCACTGATCAAAAGCATTTAAAATCTTTGCTAAACGAATTCACTCATGACGATTTTGAAAATGTACGACATTTAATATCATTCAGAAGTCTGGTTGAAAACGAACAACCCGACAATCGCATAAAACTTTTAACAAACGATGATTTTTTAAAAGACGTGCTGCATCAGGAAATTACCACTTTTCTCGAATATTTGAGAACATTCCATTTATTTTTAAAATGTTTGTACGTTCTGGTACAGGACTTGCCAAATAATCCTTTGGGGAAACAGGTAAAAGCAAATACATTCCGAATTACAAGTTAAATCTTTATTTTAAACAGAATGAAATCTCAAATTAATAATAAATTAGTAAATGAACATACTGATCATGAGAATGATTATTGATTTCTTTAATATTAAACAAAATATTGTATGTATTAGAAGAACCTTATTAGCCCGTTAATTTATCCCATTTGTATAAGTCTGTCCCTACTTTACTTTACCCCTTTAGTAGGGTGGCGCAAAAAAACCGACTATTTTTTTTTTAATCTCGAGTGAAAAAATGTTAGTTTTCGATGTTTTAAGAACCCCCTCCAAAAGACAACTCAAAAAATTTTTTTTAAGATGCTCCAAATTTTTTAAAATTTTAAAAATCGCCAAAAATCGAATTTTTTTTTATTCAAATTTTTTTACTCGTTACGGTATAATTTTATTGACCACAAAATAATAAGTTTCTGAAAGTTTCAGTTCAAAATTTGAATTTTGAAAGGTCGTTCATAATTTTGACGTGACAACGTCTTATAATTCGATGGAGCCGGCTGCACGCACGACAAAACATGACTCATGCGGCGTTACCTCGCTGTGAGGCGTTCCATTTAAGGCTTGAAGTCCGCGTGGACAGCTGCTATACAATAATACATTTCTATTTACCTCCTTCTCTATATCCATCAAAAATATCTATCAAACAAATAAAATTAAAATTTTCTTTTGAAAAATCACTCGAGATTAAAAAAAAAATAGTCGGTTTTTTTGCGCCACCCTACCCTTTAGTCATATGTATTAGTGCTACCAAACTAATTACAATATGGTATTTTAGTTTCGAGAGCTGTACAGAACTTCTGTGAATGAACTTATTACGTCAACTGATGAGTTCAGGCAGAGTTTCCGGCTTTTAGGGTTTCAGTCAAAAGACGAGTTGTTAATAAAACTGACATGGATAGCTCATCTAATCGGATCGGAGGGAAACGACTCGGTTGGAATTAAAAAAGTAATTAAAACTTTAAACGCATTCGTTAAACAGATCGAAAACTTTAACTTAAAAATGGAAGAAAGTGGTGATGAAGAAAACGACGACGTTGTTGTTGTCACGAAGGCAAAAAGTCGACAAGAATTAAAAGAAGTAAATATTGTTAATATTATATTACGTATTTTATTGCAGAAGTTTAGTAAAGCAATGGCATGGTACTTTTATTTTATCGACATAAAAAAAAATACAACGTGTAATTACACAGCACGCTACTGAAGTGAAACTTCTTCAAACACACCAAAATACTGGGATAGGGGTTAAGGAATTGGTTTAATGATATTATTTGTACACCATGAATTTAAATTTTACACTATACATGCCGGAGTTGCCTGTAACGAATGTTGCGTTGAAGCGCGCTCGCGGCTCAAGCGATCCCCACTACGAACTCGACTACGTGGCCGTGTAGAGAGGGGACATCCGTTGCATGATTTCGTTACATAGCAACTCGCATGAAACGAACTTACCCTACCGTGCGTAAAGAAGTTTCTCTTCAAAAATACAACGTGTAATTAAACAACACGCTACTGAAGTGAAACTTCTTCAAACACACAAACATACCGGGATAGGGGTTAAGGAATTGGCGTCAGTGGCGTCGTTTCGACTGTAGAGTGTAGGCACGCATACAAATACATTCATACATTTTGTTAGGGCTACAATATACATGCCGGAGTTGCCTGTAACGAACGTTGCATTGAAGCGCGCTCACGGCTCAAGCGATCCCCGCTACTAACTAGACTACGTGGCCGAGTAGAGAGGGGACATCCGTTGTATGATTTCGTTACATAGCAACTCGCATTAAAAGAACTTACCCTACCGTGCGTAAAGAAGTTTCACTTCAAAATTTACTTATGTTTCACTGGATATGTCTTCATTCATTCTTGTCGATAATTATGTGCTCTCTTAGGTCAGGATTCCAGAGCTTTATTGATAAATTCTTAATCCACTCCAAAACGACTGTGTCTATCGAAACTGAACTACAACTCCATCCATTTTTCATTAGGAATATATTTGAAAATTGTGTCCAAAAATTTCTTAGTCTTCTTAAAAACATCTGATAGCACAGACTATTATAAAAATAGTTTCTCTCCTTTCCAAGACTTCATGTTTCGGGTTCTTTTGGTATCTGTTAACCTCCTGAATCCTTCGTTTACCCTTGCACTTATTCGCATGTAAAGTCAAGCGTCATTTGTGATGAAGAATTGCTTTCAACTCAAAGATCTTCGACGATAGTCTTCAATATATTCTTTGAACTCAATCAAACTTCTTCTTCAATACCTAAATGATTGATATGATAACTGTTCTAGCAAGTTTGGTCATAAGTTTTTGAATTGGTCGATTTGGGCTGTTAATGAGTTCATCAAAGATTCTAGGGCCCGTCAGAACCGGATTCTTACGCCTTTTTCTTAGTTTGTTTTCTTCTGTTTTTGTCTCCGTTTTGATTATATAGATTTGTAGTATTGATATGTTTGTTCCACTTTTCTTCATCGTCGCAATTGTCATTTAAAAAGGTTCGAACGGGGTCAACAATTACGAAATCAATTCCTGGCTTTCTCATAGTTTTAAGTTTTTTGTACAATTTATTGAATATTAAACGTTAGAGATACCCCGTCATTGGTTTATTAAACCTCTGCATTTATTATTGCTTTTCCTTATTTATAAAATAACATATTTCAGAAATTATTAAAAATGACCCACGAAAGTAAACCTCTTAATAAATATGAAAAGATGAGGAAAGAATTGCTTACATTTTTGACACAAACATTCGAAAAATATTTGAATACACCTAAGGAGTTGCCATTTCATGAAATATTTATTTTTAATGATATTTCCATAAGACAACACATCGAAGGGATACAAATGGCTTCCTTGCATGAAGCTTTAGTAAATCCACAAGCGTATTTACAGGTAAGAAAACAAGCATGCAGATTTCTTTACATTTAAATGTTTATTTAAAATAAATCGTGATGCATGAATATTACAAACAAATACCATTTTACTTACTACTTAATAAATAAATTTTATTGTTGTGTAATAATATTAACACTCTTGAAAACCTAATATTAAAATACAAGGGCGGATCTAGGAAGGGGAAAAGGGGGAGATTCTCCCCCACCTAAAACCATTATGAAATGGATTACTTCAGTACTATTAAGAACGTTGTGTGGTAAGTATTAAATTAGGAAAGCCCCCTGAATATCAGAAAAACAAAACTAGTCTTAATTTTAAATCAAAAAGATATACAAAAATACCACTCAAGTTTCAAATTATAACTGATGATTAAATAAAATAATTCGAAGTCATCTGTATTCTGTCGAAACTGGCAGACGCGGATCGCGATTTCGATCTTTTTGGATCTCATCAGCGCGTCGCAGGCAGTTCCAACAGAACACAGACCAACTTTTACCTGCTGTCTTAACAGTGCGTTTCAGAAAATACTACAAACGGCACAGTGAACGCCATCTGTAGCACGATGCTACATTTTAGGATAACGTATTTTTCAACAAGGTCCACTTGTGTGGATATCTACTTGCTTAGTTTAAAATGTCTAAATAAGTCTGCACCTACCTATCTGGAAATGCTTCCAAATACCATTATCTCCAAGTTTTAGGGAAAACTTAATTCAATTGTTTCTGGACCCGCTTTTGATAAATACTTTTATTTTGAAACACTACAGAGAAGATCCTTTTTGTTTTTTAGTGTCAGTGCTGTACATTACCGAATAATTCTTCAATATTAAAAACAATGCCCGATGTTTGTATTTTATATAAACTTCATCTTGAATGCGGAAAACTGATAAATTTATACGACTTGTTACAATCGTTTCTTGTGATTGTTGAACCTGAAAATAACGAAGATTGTAAAGCTATAAAACCAGAATTGCAGTATCCTTTTTCCATATAGCATCAAAAAAATTAATTAAAATTATTTCTTTGTATGTATTTTGGTATCTCATAAGTCATGAATCAAGAAATATTTAAAAACCACTTTTCTGAAACGGTTAATTAGATTGCTTAGAAGGAAAGAAAGGAAAAAAAACTCCGTAACCATTAAAAGTCAGAGAAACTTGCGATAGATTTTTATTTATTTTTGCTCTAAAGAAAATTAACATTTTTTTAAATAAAATAATTTATATGAACGTTATGTTCCTTAAATTTTTATTAGAGCGCGATTTACTCAGGCTGTAGCAGAACTGGAATACTTGGGATTTGTCAAAAGTTCCAAAAGGAAAGCTGATCATGTTACTAGATTAACTTGGAGTGCATAATTAGCATATCTAATAAATTCGCTTTTTTGTGTTTCTTGCTTTTTTTTTCGTCTTTTTCTTGAATTGCTTTTATTAGTGATTTACACCAAGCACCTTAACATTCCTTATAGCCTGTTTCCAAAATTTTCTTTTTATACTTATTTTAAAATGGTAAGTAACTTATTTTTATTTTATAATGCTAGTTTTATTTTAACATTTAATTAAAAATTAAATGTAGGCATTTTGCGTTAATCAAACTTCCGGCCCGTATAAATAATGAACTGGTGCAATTATCCTTTTATTTTCTTTAATTAAATGGTTTGCGATTTGGGCAATTGCACAATTAAGATTGAAACACAACTTTTATTGCACTTGTACTTAACGTTTAACAGAGAATTTTAAGTGTAGTCGCTTTTTTGTATATCCGGTTGAGAAAGCAGTTGTTAAATAATCAAACCAGACATGTCAAACTTTTTCTATGCAAGATTAAGGAATTTCTTTAAAACTAAAAAGTTCTTCTATTTTGACAATAATTAGATAGGAACCATTCTTATTAGATTGAAAAAATTTCGAACATTATGGGATATTTCAAATAATTCTTAGGATACTTTGGCCGAAACATATATGAAATACCCTAAAATAGTATCAGAAGTCATCCCCGCAACTCATACATAATGGTTGTCAAACGTTCTAGAAGGTTCTGTAGTCATGCGGTCCGGTGTATTCTAGAAAATTCTAGCAGAGGACAATCCTTAGAAACATTCGAGAACGTTCTAGCTGGGACGACGCTAGAAACATTCAAAAATGAATGTTCTGGTACATTCTTACTTATTGTAAACCGGTGTTTGGTGTTTTGTGGTCGATGGTCAACCTGCAAATCCACGCACCCACCAAACTGAACAACTTTCGAACATTATGGGAAATTCCAAATAATTTTTCGGATACTTTGATCCAAATATAGAAATGAACTGTTCTAATATAATATCAGAATCCATCCCCGCCACTCATAGATAATTGTTTTCGAACATTCTAAAAGGTTTTCTAGTTTTTCGGTCCGGTGCATTCTAGCAAACTGTAGATGAGGACAACCCTTAGAAACATTCGAGAACATTCTAGCTAGGACTACACTAGAAACATTCAAGAATCAATATTCTGCTACATTTTTACGTATTCTAAACTGGCGTTTGGTGTTTGGTGGTCGACCCCGCAAATCCACGCACCCAGATATCAAACACTTTTTAAAACGCCGATAAAAATATGAAAATGTCTTTTAACCACCGCTAAACTTTTTGAATAAATGGTAGATTTATAAACATTGTAGTTATATTTAAAAGCACTTGCCGTTTACGAAAAGTGAACACAATACGGGTGGTCTTTTGTAATCCTTTACCTTTCGCTTGTAAACTATATTACAGGAAATGATGAGGAAGAAAAAATCGTACCCGAACAACGCTTTATTTGCAGGTAAGTTTTATTACACCGATAGCCGCAACTTCGACGGATCAGCTTCAAGAGAACCGAAATATTTGAGACAGAAAACAATCAAGTTTCGTAATGGATTTTATTCAACTGTATCACATTATCCTTGTAATTATAATAAAATAATCCACCAAATTTTTAACCTTNCTACCAACCTTTTCGTCATAAATTTCCTTTAACTGATTGGAGTAACTATAACCTACCACAAACATAATTATAATAAAATAATCCACCAAATTTTTAACCTTTCAGTGTTTATTTACAGTATTTCAGAAAGTTTAAATACAATCTAAACTTATGCAACAATAACAATTATTACTACTCTGTCACCGTCGGTCATACTCATGAGTATCTTTTTATGATGAAGAAAAAATTGCACCTGCAATTATCCATTTACTGAATTGCATGTTGTAGTTGACATTTGCTTAATTGTGAATGGTAATGATTTGCAAAGAAATCGTAATTCTCCTTAAATATGTTCCTGATAGCCACTTAAGTCGCATCACAACGTGTATAAGTAAACACTTCAAGTACCTGTATGCCTAATCGTCACTTATTAGCGCATTTTGTTTTTGAATTTACACATTGGAGGACGTAGGATGTATCAAAAAAACTATATTTTATAACCAGAAGGAATAATCCCCGCTAAATACCAATCCACGAATACTTACATAAACACTGAATAACATATGTTATTTTTAAAAGAGTATAATTAGTATCTACTAATTAACGTATATTTTAGTTAGATCCATAAAACCAGCGGCGTAGCTAAAGCTAACGTGGGCATCGGTAAAATCCTCCCAGTGTCATGTCTTTTGTAGGAAAAGTGCTAGGAAATTGAATTATTTTTATTTCAATGATTGTTATAAAATTGATAACCAAAACTAAAACATAACTACATTGGTTTCTACAATAGTAATGCCACATTATTATAATCATTCCACCCAGCGACATAATTAGGTTCAGTTAATTAAATCTAGCTGCCTCCCTCCCATCAACATTCACATCTTTACCTTACAAAACATAAGCAGTTATTTGAAGTTAATTTATTAACGAATTCTTCGAAATTGCTACAACACAAAAAAGTCAATCAAAAGTTCTCGTCAATTTGATTTTTATTGAAAGCACAGCAAAGGATTTTAGAGTTTTTCTTTTTTAGAAAACTATTCGCAATGCGATATTAATATGTGGAATTATATCTTCGACGTCTTTTTTCTTAATTTTTTGACTTAAAGGAATTACGGCTAGAAACCACATCTAGTATCTACAGTTACGAATGCTGGAAGGTTTATGAAACTAATTGAATCAACATGTAAATTAGTTTTGTATATTTGAGTCAACCTGGACTGTAAACTAAATCTCGCAACCACCCTTTTTACTCAGTTCATTCGTTCAAATAAAAACGTAGTTCGATTAACGGCCTCTTTTTACATTCAAATGAAGAGGTATTTGCCGTCCCTAAAATTGTGACTCCCTTGGCTATAATCTGTTCAGCCGATACGTAAATATGCCACTGATTCCACCCTACTATTTACTAGCAGCAGCGACAAACTAATTTAGAAAATTAAAAAACAAACCTCGTCCTTTTCTTCTCTCTTCCTCACAAAGCGTTTATGATAAGAGTGCTAAACGGGTCTAGGAATCCCATAAATTTTTTATACAAGTTTCTGACTTCACTGATACGAATCCTTTAGCTGAAGAACTCCATAACTGTTGGTATTGCTAGGTGACCCTGATACAAAAATGTTTTTGTATTTATTATCCTTGTAACTGAAAACTGCTTCTGTATATTTTATCAGAAACAAGAACGAGAATTTGTTTTAAATGTGATCATCATCATCGTCATGAGGTCGTCAGTCCTAAGACGGGCTGGACACGCATCATCTTCCTTTTTTTTAAATGTGTTAAAAAGAAGAATTCCATTTTTTATAGATGTTTCAGATTTCAGATTTTTACAGTTTAAAATTTTAGAATCTGTAATAAATTCCTTTTTAAATGAGATTTCTCACCTTCAGATATAGGCCCCATTATGACAAATTTCTTACTTCAATATAATTCTTAATTTACATTTCATAAGTTCATTACTAATGAACTTACCTAGCCAAACATGTGCATTATTTATTCCCATCAGAGAATGTAATTCAAGTTTCTGATTTCGCATTGGCAGTAGGTGTAGCTACTGCTCATAAAATTTGCATTTGCTAAATCGTCGATAATAAACGTCTGTTTTTTGTGTTCAGTGGTTATGTTTACACCAATAAAATGCAAATGACCGGGATGTAAATAAAGCGACAATATATGCTTTAAAATAAATCCAAACGGACAGCGAAAATGCATAAAATAATGCAACTTGTCTGAACATTGTTGAACATTAAATTGTTGTTACTCAGTTATTGTTTATTTAAATTACAACTTAATCTAATGGTTATGTTCAGCATATTTTATGAATAACTAGCGACCCGCCCCAGCTTCGCACGGGTGCAATGCTGATACTAAATATATATATTTTTTTTGGTTAGATTATTTTCGAGGAGGGGAAATCTTCAAAAGGCACCCCCTGAACATACTAAATATACTACAGAATACAACATTCACAGCTTTTTTGTCATTAGACAATATAAACCGGCCTCCCGCCGCAACCGCTATGTCTCTGCATTTTAAATCTGTAATATCTTCGAAAATATTCATTTAAATTACATGCTATAAAGGGCATATTGATCTATATTAAATACACAATGTATTTAAGGTACTTAATTGGATAAGAATTAATGTTAAAATCGCTTCGTAAGTAAGCCATTATTTCTCGTAAAAAGTAAAGGATACATAGGGACAGACAGCGGGAAGCGACTTTGTTTTATACTATGTAGTGATAATGATAATTAATTATCAATATGTCACATAAACACAGAGTATGTATATGATTTTCATACTTAATCATCCAGTTGTATACTTCACGAATTTTTGCACCTTAGAAAACTTTAGAATAACTAAAGTTTCCACTTGCTTCATTCATGAAAATGATCTAAACTATCTGTAATGAATTTATACATTCATACTCAAAAGTGGTTATTGTTTTCCTTTGGTTCACCCCGCCAAAACAAAGTTACTTAGCAAAATGGGGACGAAATTCCATCATCTTATGAATTTCAAGAAACGCCTTGACAAGGCCACATCTTTTTTTTTGAAATGATTATGTCCAATATCCATTTTTTTTATTTAAGAATTCTTTTCTTTTTTTGTAAATACGTTATTTCATCGTCAGCTCGCTGACAAATTGATTAAATGTTAAAAAGAGTCCTTGCAGAAATGGCCCTCAATGTAAACGACCTTGTAAATTACAATTCCTTCTAATTGTCACACATACGTATAGTTGAAGTCTAGACAGAAACAATAGTACCTATAGTGAAATGTTATATCTCGATTCTTTTGAATTCAGAGAAGTCGACAAACGTTGCTTGTTTAATTTTTGTCTTCTTTTCTCTCACCACCCTTTCGTCAAAAATAAAAGCGGGACCACCACTGACAAACATGCAAAAAAACCCATACGTGGTCATCGCGCTTTACCTCGCCCTGCAT